AAGTAAAAATAGGCTCAGAAATGGCTACAGAGGGAATATATCTTTAGAAGAAGATAAGGAGGCAAAGCACAGACAACCCCTGACAGAAAGTGGTGAAAGACAGAGCTATAGCTCCAGAGGTCTAACTCTCAAGGTCTGGACAAAGCGGTCTCACCACTCATCATGCGGGACACATACAGAGGAAAACTGGAAGAGGCCAGTTGTTGTGTGAAGAAAGCCCACCGGAGTGACAAGAGAAAGGACTGGTAAATCACAAGGTACTATCTTTTGAGTTCTCGAAGGCAAAATATGCAAGGATCTGTTCCTTTGCCTACCACAGAAAGGAGAATGTCCACAGGACAAGAAAGAATAATACTGTGATTCAGTCCTTTAATGAAACAACTCAGTGCAAAAGACAGATGACCAATGCAATAAAGAGTTCCTTTAAGCAGTCTCTCTGCTCCCCTTTGGCCTTGATTCTTTAGAAACAGACCTTGAGCATTTCCCTCTTAAACTTGAGGACATACATCTGCCACAGTTTTCTGTCCCAAAAGGTTTGCTGTTACTTTGGTCTAGGCTGACTTTTTCCTGAGTAACCTATAAACAACCTGAGGTTTGAAACATTTTGACTGACCTGGGCTGTCACCTATCCTGTGATTAGTTTGTACTTTGCAGGGATTGGTCAATATATTTATGCAAATGAAGTGACTGTAACCCCTTATACAAATGCAGTGCCCATGGCCTACTAAGAGGGGATTAGTCGGTGCACGGCTCTGCCGAGAAGGCCATATCTTGAAAGTGATGAGAGGTGGCATATGACTGCAGCCAGTTTCACAAAGGTGGGCAAGTAAGAAGCAGAAGGAAGACAGAAAAGAAGCAAACGAAGCAGCAGCAAGGTTCCTCCCAAAAGAGCTGTCATAAATGTCAAGGATGCTAATGCTGGAGCTGCCAGCAATCTCAGAAGGAGCCTGGTGGCAGAGCTGGTGGTGACAACAGCAAGGCGAAAGGCAGCTGGTCCTCAGGGGTCCACAAGAAGGCCTGCATGGCTGAGAGAGGACATGCATAGTGGAGAGAGAATCCTGCTTGCTTACAGGGCTTAAAGGAGCTCAGAGAGCTGTTCTGCACTGACAAAAGAAGGGACCTTCCAAAGGTGCCCTTTGGGGGAACCTTCCAAACTTTGCCTGTGTGTTTCTTGATGTTGTAACCCAGTGATCCTGATCTTTTAAGTTGTACCACATCACTTCCAGAGTAACCACTTACTCTAAGTAGGACCTGTGAGTTTTGTGAGGCCATGGCAACAGGTTATTAACACAAAAGAGAAATAGCCATGAAAGTGACAGTAGGTAATAGACTTGATTAAAAAAAAAAGAGTTGGAGAGTAGTAGTACATCTGCCCTTCAGTGCACTGGACTCCTCCTGGCCATTAACCCCTAAAGTCAGACAGGTTCTGACACTATGATTGCCTCTGAGGTTAGGTGATGCTGGTTCTGGCTTACTGTAATATGTACAACAGACCAAAATTATTATGCATCCTCACAATTGTTTGAGATGCTGTTGTAGCCATGAAGCCAATTTATCTAATTTAGGCTCATCCTTTTTCCTTTCCCCACCCCCCATATTCTCAAAGGAGAGGAAGATACTCAAGGGAATGGACTGGCACAGTGACTGCAACAGTGGGCTTGGGCACAGCAGAGACAGCGAGGGTAGTGTGCTCTGGGCAAGGGCATGCTCTGTTGTGCACAGTGTGACTGTGTTTGGGCTCACCTGACGGAACCTAAGAGCAACAACTTTACCAACCATGACATCCTTCTTCAGGGGCTGCTTCCTCCTGATACCATGTTCAAAGTACGTGAGTCAAGTCCCATCGTTACTGCTTCTAAGAAGCATTCTATGTCAAACCTATTCTTGAGATATTCTTGAATATAAAGCTGTAAGTCAAAGCTGCATCTCTGATATAAAAGAAATAAGACAGAGACTGAACTTCAAGGAGTCACTGTTCTTCAAAGTAATGGGAACAAAATAGTTCAAATGTAAAAGAAAAAAACAAAACCCAACAGAAATGAATGAGAAAATAAATTACTTTGGAAAATGTTGATTTACCAAAGGTCAAAACTTTGCCCAAAAAGGCTAAGACACAACCAGAATAATACAAAAATCAAAACAAAGAAATTGGGGTTCTAAAAAAAAAAGAGTACTGAGCATACAGCTCAAAATATCTAAAGCAAGGTAATGGGGTGAAAAACAGGCATACCAACAAAGAAAATGAGAGAAGAAATTGGAACACTGAAGATACTTAATTCATACACAAACAGTTGAGTTCACATGAGCAATGCTGTTGTTACTGTTATGTGTCACTGATGAATGGTTAAAAAACTATGGTACACTCACATCCTACACAAAACTGTATGGCATTCTACACAAAAAGAACAACCATGACTTTGAGAACCTCTACATAACATGGATGAGTCTAGAGGGCATACTGTGTGAAATAAGCCAGAAGGACATATGTTACCGAAGATCACTACTACAGAGAGCTAAAGAAAGGTTTTCACACAGAAAGAATCATTCCTAGGTGGTTACAGGGATGGAAAGGAAGGGAAAGGGGAGTAAAAAATTAGTAAACAGAGAACAACAGGCAACAGTAAAAGTACTATACATTATAGGGACGATCCGCCTCCACCAACTCAGAAAGAGAAAACACTGAGAAGTGCACTGAATACAGTCACAGGAGTAAGGCAAGTGCAAGGACAATGGAAGTACTGCAGCAGTCAATGTTCTTGAAACAAAATGTACATGAAGAACCAATGTGCTCTGTAAACTTTCACTCAAATAACTAATAAAAAGAAAGTAGGTATAGAGAAGTAAGCACAAGTGGGGGAGACCAGAGGCCAGATGGAGGTTGCCTAGGGAGTTGAAGAATCCTGGGGTTACAAACACTGGGACAAGGATTCCCCTCTAGAGGAGATAGAAAAAACCTTCTCTTAGAGATGGGGTCATGATAGTTTCCTAAATTGTGAGAAAATTAAACTTTATATACATCTATATGAGGAGAAAAACTGCTTTGAAAGAATTGGCTAAAAATAAGGCCCTAGAAAGAGATAGTATACCAACTGACATATTTCAACTAACAGATGCTGCCGTAGATGTGCTTACCAAGTTGTGCCAACAAATCTGGAGAACAATCACTTGGCCAACTGACTGGAAGAGATCTATATTTGTTCCCACTCCAAAGAAAGGTGATCCCACAGAGTGTGGAAATTATCAAGCAATATCATTAATATCACACGCAAGCAAGACTCTGCTCATGATTATCCAAAAATTATCAGAACAGCTTATCAACAGAGAACTGCCTGAAGTGCAGGCTGGTTTTAGAAGGGGTTGATAATGTTAGATGGATCTTGGCTAAAAGCAGGAAGTACCAGAGGAATGTATATCTCTGTTTCATTGGTTATGCAAAGGCATTTGACTGTGTAGATCACAAGAAACTATTGCTGACTCTGAGAAGAATGGGAATCCTAGAACACCTGATCGTGCTAATACGAAACCTATACTTGGACTAGGAGGCAGTTGTCGGAACAGAGCAAGGAAACACCGCATAGTTCAAAATTGGGAAGGGTGTACGCCAGGGATGTGTCCTATCTTCATACCTTTTCAATCTATATGCAGAACAGATTATCCGGGAGGCTGGGCTCTATGAGGAGAAATGTGGCATCAGGATTGGAGGAAGACTCATCAACAATCTGCATTTTGCAGATGACACAACCCTGCTTGCTGAAACTGAGGAGGACCTGAAGCGCTTGCTGTGGAAGGTCAGGGACTACAGCCTTCAGTATGGATTGAGGGTCAATATCAAGAAAACAAATATTCTTACCACTGGGCTAATTGGTAGCATCAGGATGGATGGTGAAGAGATTGAGATTGTTCATAGCTTTACTTTGCTTGGCTCCACAATCAATATTCTTAGCACCAGAAGCCAGGAAATTAAGATGTATTGCAATGGGAAAAGTCTGCAGTTAGAGACCTCTCTAAAGTACTGAAGAGCAATGATGTCAGTCTGGAGACTAAGATGCGCCTGATACAGGCCATGGTCTTTGCAATCACTTGCTATGAATCAGAGAGCTGGACAATGACTAAGGATGAAAGAAGGAGAATTGATGCCTTTGAGTTGTGATGTTGAAGAAGAGTATTGAATATACCATGGACTCCTAAGAGAATGAACAAGTTTGTCCTAGAGAGGGTGGAGTCAGGCTGCTCCTTAGAGGGAAGGATTCTGAAGCTTCATCTGACATACTTTGGACATGTTGCAAGGAGGAAACAGCCCTTGGAAAGGGATGTCATGCTTGGGAGGGTGGAGGAACAGGTGCAGGAGAGGAAGACCCTTGATGAGATACATTGATTCAATGACTGGAGTAATGGGGGTAGGTGATTCAGAGACAATAAGATTGGCACAGGATAGAGCAGGGTTTACGGCTTTTGTACATAGGGTCAACGGCACATAACAACAACAACTTACAAAAAAACGTTATTTGCAACAAATAACTCATTGATTGTTCAGAATTCTATCATTCTATCCCTAGCCTCATTTCTGTCACCAAGTCCATGTTTTCCGACTACTGAACTTTCATCATGCTTGGAAGGGTGGAGGGACAGCTAAGGAGAGGAAGATCCCAGATGAAATGAATTGATACAGTGCCTGGGGCAATGGGGGTTGGTATGTTGGAATTAGTGAGACTGCTCAGGACAGGGCAGAGTTCAGAGCTGCTGTACATATGGTCCTTACGGGTCACAGGCGACTCGATGGTACATAACAACAGCAGCATATGAAAGCCCTCTTTTAATTAGACATTGATGTGTGCTCCTGGTTCATATTGTGAGCTGGTGGATCCTCTGATCTGAGCAGGAAGTCTCCTACTCCATCCCCTGCTCTCACTTACCACTCCCCAAGAACCTCCCTCAGCCCCCACTGTGCTGCACTGGCTCCAAACTGTCCCGGTAACCCCCAGCCTTGGCTCAGCACTCACACAGTCTATATTCTCTGTCATGTTCAAAATGATGTAGTTTTTCCCAGCCAGGTTGCTCCAGTCTTTGCAGATCACCTGTCCAATAAAACAAAAAGGCTATGATTACAAAAGTGTAAGGGAGGGCCACCAGGGACACACACTTATCAACATGGGCGTGACACATACACAGTGACCCTCCACCAGGTTTCCAGAGCTGAGACGCGCAGCCTTCGGGTCAGCAAAGCAAAGAGCCCACCCGTACTTATGGTGTGCACACTCTGAGAAGCTAAAAGATGAAGGCCAATTATGGGGTTGTGTAGGTAGGTGAATACTAACAACCTCTTGGAGGTGACTTGCCAAGGGTCTGGTGCAGGGTCCACAAACTGCTGTCTTCAGGGACTAAGAAAACCACAACTTAAATGAGAAGAGACCTCATATGATACACAGGGAGTGGGAAACCGTCCACGGGATAGACTGCAAAGGGCTTTCTCCATTTAAAATGTCAATGGCAAAAATGCCACTATTCAGCAGGATAAGTAAAAATATAACTGTAGGCTAGGCTTTTAGGCTGACAATGTGGAGTCCCTTTTCTTTCGAGTTCTGGGTGTGAGCTGACTGTATGTGAGGAGGGATGAGGTGCAGGCAGAGGGATAAGAGGGAGAACAGAGTGACTACATATAGGGTGGTAGAAAGGGGGATGGGGCAGAGCATGGGCCAGGCACCAGCACCCAGCGGTGGGGCAGCACCAAGGACAAACATTGGTGTTCAGTGAAAACCAGGCAAGGGACACCAAGCTTTTCACAAGATATTCACATATAGGAGTGGTGAGGATACCTGCTGCTGGGCCATGAGGTTTGGATCCTACACGTTCTCTTGTGATTCTATGTGCTATACAAAGGGTTTTCACCCTTAACCCAGCAGAGGCCACACCAGCTGCACTAACTGTGTACACTAACCCTGGGTATGCTAACCCTGCGTACACTAACCCTGGTTATAGCAGGGCTCCCCAGACAAAGGTGCAGATTGATGGCATGGATGCCCCTTCACATTACCTGGGTAGAGTCCCAGGGTATCCTAGATTGAACTTCAGGTGCCTGTCCCTCCTGGAACTTCTGGTGGAGGTCTTCATGTCCCGAAGCAGCAGGGGAAGGTGTCAGTTCCACGTCTCGGGGTGCCAGTGAGAAAGGAGCTGCAGTTCTGCGGTGATGAAGATCTTCTTCTGGAACCTCAGCCCCACCCAGCACTTCCGTTTGAGGAGAGGACGCCACAGCCGGCACTGTGACTTGCCTGCCAGCCCATTCATCTGCTCCCACAGTTGCTTCCTTCTCCAGTTCCTGGGGAACCTCAAACTCTGTCCCGAACCCTGCAGCTGGCAGTAAGGAGGGCCCTGCCTCTGTGCTCGGGAAATCCTGATCCCCCAGGGCTGCTCCACTGGGGGTGGCCGAGAACACTGACAACCTTGGTTCCACGCTGCTCTCCACCTCTCCACCTGAGGCAGCCTGATCCTCAGCATCCTCTTGCCTGTGTATGGCAGACCCTGGCATCTGGCTTCTGCTGATGGGAGGGAAGTCATGGGCCTGGGCGCTGGCTTCTTGGGATCCACTGACAGGCAGCAGCTCTTCTTTCTCCTCCTCTTCTTTTTCCCGCTCCTCCTCCTCCTCCTCCTCTTCTTCCTCCTCTTCTTCCACCTCTTCCGGAGGCATATGCCAAGGGGGCTCAACCAGATTCATCTTGGGCAGGGGAGAAGGGAAGCTTGGCACCTCTTGAGTCTGGCTGGTGTCTTCTAGGGAACCCGCCTTCTCAGTTAAGTCAGGAAAAACATAGTCTAAGGACAGAGAGAAAATTTTCATTCACTCGTTTCATCATTCATTGACTATTCAGTATTTGCTGAACAACTGATAGTAAAGAACTACAAGACACTTGCAGGGAGCATGCGGGGCAAATGTGGGAAAGAGCCTGGAGGAAAGAGAAACATAAGAGGCCAGCCGATCAGAGTTTCCTTTACGATGATAAAAGTAATATACAATCTTCACTAAAATTTAGTGAATCCAAGAATGCATAAAGCACAAGGTAAACGGTTTGTATAATCTCACCCATGCAGAGACAGGCATTAATAGTCTCATGTTTGGTTGTGTGTTTTTTAAGTATTTCTTTTGTTGTTTTGTTGCTGAGCAGGCGCACAGCAAAGCGCACATCAATGCAACCATTTCTCATGGACAATCTAGTGACTCACAGTACACATTCTTTGAGCGGTACAACTATTTTCACTCTCTTTTCTTGAGTTGTTCCTCTCCTAGTAACATAAAGCCACTGTCACCTACAGATCCGACCTAATCCTTAAAATCATTGTGAATTTTATTACGTTTTATCTCATTATGCATCAGAGAGTTGGACAATGACTAGGGAGGATAGAAGGAGAATTGACGCCTTTGAGCTGTGGTGCTGGAGAAGAGTGCTGAGGACACCATGAGCTGCCAAGAAAACAAACAGATCCATCCTAGAGAGGGTTAAACCAGGATACTCCTTGGAGGCAAGGATTCTGGGGCTTCGTCTGACATACTTTGGACATGTTGTAAGGAGAGACAGGTCCTTGGAGAGGGACATCATGCTTGGTAGGGTAGAGGGACAGCGCAGGAGGGGAAGACCCTCTATGAGGTGGATTGATTCAGTGACGTGTAATCGGGATGGGTGTGTCAGAGGCAGTGCAATTGACACAGGATAGAGCAGGGTTTAGGGCTGTTGTGCATAGGGTCGCTATGAGTCGCAAACGACTCTATGGCACATAACAACAACAAAAACAATAGACAGTTCTCTTTTTGCACATGTGATTTTTATTTATTTTTTAAACAAAATTTTTTTTATTTTACTTGTCATTTTAACAAAAATTTACAGAAAAGTTAGATTTTCTTTCATTCATTGCTGCACATTTTACCCCTCTTCTTCCCTTCCCCCTCCCCAACTTTATTACATATAGATAGTTTTTAACAGAATACATTTGCTTAGGGCAAACCTGTTTTTAGTGGTTAAGCTATACTACTATTTGGTTTAAGACTTCCTCCACTGTTCTTAAGACTATGGTTTGTGTACTGAATCATATATAATATTTTAACAACTAAAATGGGATTATTTCATTCAACAGTGTATCATTTTTATTTCCCTATGGTTTGTATACATAGACATCATACAGATTTCTCCTTGATTATCTTCATTATTAACTCCTCTCTGATCTCCCTAAAATGTGGTCATTTCCAGTCAATCCTTGACTTATATTCCTACCCTTCTTGGAATATTCACGTATTCCAGAGACTTTATGAATTGCCTCTGTGTGAAAGGCTCCTCTTGTTAGGCCTTCTTGTAAGGTATTTCACCTTTTTCCAACCACTCACTCCAATAACTTCCTGAATATTCCAACTTGACCAGTCCTTTAAACTAATTCTATTAAAACTCAGAATCACCATCTTTTCCAATTTATCTATACCTCTCAAAATGCAAAATTATTCCGTTTCTTTTTATTAATTCCATCACTACTAAACCATATGGCCTTAGACACTCTGCTTAACCTTTATTCATTTGTTATCTGTAAAATATTAACAGTATCTATAACATGATCATGATTCAATGTGAGATTTAAACACTTCAATTTTAGTCAGTATTTCACCTCCTAGAACTATCGTTGGTATTATTACCATTAAAACCACAATTTAAAAAAAATAGTTCTTTTCTGAAAATATGCTTCACAGGATAAGTAATACAATAAAATTCTAGTTACATGAAGATTAATCAAAGAGAATGTTGGGGGGAAAGGCAGGACAAGAAAGGGCTGACCATCTACTGGAAGGTCTAAATAGGATCTCTTTGATTGGAAACAAGAATAAAATGGGAGATCTAATATGGTTAAGGAGCTCTGGTGGTCTACTGGCAAGAAGTTGTGCTGCAATCCCAAAGGCTCGCAGTTTGAGGCCACCAGATACTCCATGGGAGAAGGATGGGCAATCTCCTCCAGTGTAATTAACTGCCTCTGAAAACCCACCAGAGAGTCACCTACAGTCACTCCCAACTCAATGGTACAAAACTAGCACAATACAATTACAAGATCGTCAGAGGTGATGGCAGGAAGTCAGCTATGGACAACTGTATGATAGACACTGGCAGAATGAAAACAGGGGTCCTGGAGAGCAGTTAATTAAGACCATACAAATATGAATTTAGAACAAGCAAGCTTTACTCAACATCAAATCATCCTGAGCTAAGAATCTCAGAACCTTCTAGAATGAAGCAGCAGTGTTATTCTTACAAAAATACATAACCTGCTCTAATCATGTGGAAATACAAGTTACCCTAAATAGAGCATTCTACAGAATAATTGGGGAGCTCTGGCAGCCTAGTGGTAAGAAGCTGAAGCTGAGCTGCAATTCCAAAGGCATGAGGTTCAAATACACTGGCTGCTCTGCAGGAAAAGGACAGGGAATCTCTTTCCGTGCCAATACCATCTCTGAAAGCCTGCTACAGGGTCAGCTATCGGGTGGTTCCGACTCAACAACATACAACAACAAAGAATGATACTTTAAAAAAATGTCAAGATCTCTGCAACCAGGAGAAGATTAAATAGATGAATGGATCTTCTAAGAATCAAATCCCTATGCACATCCAAACTTCTCCAACAGGGTTAAAAGGGAAGCCACAGACGGGGAAAAATATTTGGGACTGACATGTCAGTTATCTGACTAAGGGATTTATATCTAGAATTTTTTCTTAGATTGTTACTATTTTATTGAACTGCTAAATTATATCTCGAATTTATAAAATACTTGAGCACCACAACAAGATAAAGGTAAATAATCCAATAGAAAAATGGGCACAGGATATGAACAGACATTTCACCAAAGAAGACATTTAGATGGCCAACAAGCATATGAAGAAATGTTCAAAATCCCTAGCTCTAAGAGAGATACAAATCAAAACAACTGTGAGACATCATCTCACCACAGTCAGAATAGCAAAATTTAACAGAACAGCAAGCAACAAATGCTGGCGAGGTTGTGGAGAAACTGGAACCCTTATTCACTGTTGGTGGAAGTGTAAAATGGTGCAACCACTGTGGAAAGTGGTGTGGCGCTTTCTCAAAAAGTTGCAAATAGAGATACCATTTGAGCCAGCAATTCCAATACTGGGAATATATCCGAAAAAGACCATAACCGACATCCAAGCAGATATATGCACACCCATGTTTATCGTGGCTTTGTTCACAATAGCAAAGAGTTGGAAACAACCCAGGTGCCCATCAACAAACGAATAGATAGAGAAGCTTTGGTATATTCACAAAATGGAATATATGCTGCATTGAAAAACAAGGAACTCATGCAATATTACTGAAAATGGGTGACCCTGGAGGACATAATGGTGAGTGAAATATCTCAGTCACAAAAGAACAAATACAGCATAGTGCCATTGTTGTAGAATGAGACTGACACCAGGGTTGGGGTAAGACTGAGAAAAACTGGATAAATTATGTATACTGCATTGAAACAGATGAGGGAGAGAGTAATTTATAAGCGATATATGATAGGGTATTATGGTTATCACAAGAGTCCAGAATTAAGGTTGCATAGTGGAGTGTACTCAGGGCGGTGTTAGGGGTGCGGGGGTATTGTATACCAAAGAAAGAATTTTTCTTTTACTTTTCAAAGAGAGGCGTGAACTGGGGGAAGGGCTGGGCAGGGAGAAAAGTGCAACAATGAATGGATGGAAATCCAAAATCTCAGTAAATGTTCATTAAAATTAATAAGATTTTTAAAAAATGTCAAGATCCTAAAATACAAAGAAAAATTAAAGGATTTTTCACACTAAAAGAGACAAAGGGAAAATGACAACTAAAGTATATGATTCTGGTTTGAATATGAGGTAGGAAAAGAAAGTTATGCATTTGTTATAAATGATACAATAAGGACAAATGAAAAAGTTTAAACAAGACTTTCTTCAGGTTTTTAAAAAATTTTTTCACTGTAAGCAATTTGGTTTTTGGGGTGAAAGTTCACAAAGAATATTAGCTTTTAAGTCAATCATTGTACAATTGCAATTAATGTTATAAAACAAAATATAACTGAGAGATTGAAGGAAAGCCAATAAAAAATAGATAGCTGAACAGAAGACTTCAAAGGGTAGCTTGAGAAGACAAGTAAATTATTACAATGAAATGTGTGTAGAGAAAACCATAAGGAAAGAAAATACTTGGCATTTTTCAAGATGAAAGAAATGAAGAAAAAAATTGAAGTCTCAAGTTGCATACTGAAGGCAAAATCTTGAATGATGCAGGAAGCATCAAAAGAAGATGGAAAGAATACAGAGTCTCTGTACCAAAAAGAATTGGCTGACACTGAACCATGTCAGGAAATACCATATGATAAAGAACCAATCGCACTGTCCACCCACCTTGCCTGCCCTTCTGCACTGCCAGGCTGCTCCGGTCTCAGTGTGTCCCTCCTCCTCACTCAGCTGCCTGACTCTTCCTCCTTCCCTCAGAGGATGGCCACCTTCCACATCAACCTCAGCCCACTCAAGTAGCCAGCAGCAGGCTTCATCAAAGTCCTCGAATGGATTGTATCCATCTTTGCTTTTGCTACCCACGGAGGTTTCCAGGGGAAAACAGAAATTCTAGTGCATTATCCTAAAATCAATGACAGTAAGAATTTTACAGCTACTTCTGATCATCCATTCAGGTTGAATCAGGCATCATTTCAGGATGCTCCAGCAAAAAATGTGTGTGAAGTAAAACGGAAAAATTAGGTTCTTGCAAGAGATTACTCTTGTTCTGCACTATTCTATGCT